TCTTTCCCTTTCCAAACACGTTGGGATTCTGTGCTTTTTGCCGTTAAAAAAAAATGCAAAGTTTCTGTATCTATATATGCACAAACTTTGTCTTCTTCCTCATTCACGTTGGATCTCATTCACATTTTCAGAAATATCGTAACTCACCCCGAGAGGAAGGTCTCCTGGTTTTGACCGTTTCGTGAAATCGCAGGAGCCAAAACACAAAGATGGTGTTCTGGGTATTTGGGTATGGCTCACTTCTTTGGAACCCTGGGTTCAATTACGATGACAGAATCATCGGCTACATCAAAAGCTACAAACGCGTTTTCGATCTTGGTACGGCGAGAAAGTTCGGATCTTTCTGTTTTTTTTTTCGTGTTTTTGAAGAAACCCGACAACGAGAATGTGAAGATCAGATGAATGATTTCTAATGCGTTGTCATTTTCTTTTTGCAGCTTGCATTGATCACAGAGGGACACCTCAGAATCCTGCAAGAACTTGCACGTTGGAACGATCGGAAGGGTCTATTTGTGTAAGTGTATATGGTATTCAGTCTGTGTGCATATAACGAATGCGACATTTGGAAACTTGGTATGATTTTGTTGAATAAAAAAACTGATTTTGACAGTGGGGTGCTGCTTACTGTGTTCGTGGAGGACCCGAGAAGGAGAGACTAGCAATGGAGGTTACTTTTAAAGATCTTAACCCTCTTCTGTTTTTCCTCGGTTTTTTGTAGATCAAGAGTTAGAGTTTGGTCTGAGATTTTGCCTGTTCTTGTTTCAGTACTTGGAAAGAAGAGAGTGTGAATATGACTCCAAGACCCTTGTCGAGTTTTACACTGTAAGAACAACATATACTTACATTGGCTTGTGTTAAATGTTTCCCGGTTAATTTTGTTAATCGGATTCGTCATGTTCTTCTCTGAATGCAGGAATCCGATGCCTCCAAGCCGATCTTGACCGGAGTTATAGTGTATGTTTCCCCTTCAATCTAAAGTTCTTTAGCTGATCTTGACCGATGTTATAGTGGTTTTGTTAACACAGCCGTTGTTCTCTGCAGTTTCACATCGACTCCAGACAGAGCCTCGAACAAATACTATTTAGGACCAGCTCCATTGGAGGAGATGGCAAGGTAAGACAAGTAACAAACACAAATAAAAGCAGAAATTTTGTCTGAAACATGCTCTCATATGAGTTATATACTCTCTGTTTCGTGTCAGGCAAATCGCAACGGCATCTGGACCTTGCGGGAACAACCGAGAGTATCTTTTCCGGTTGGAGAAATCAATGCAAGACATAGGTTAGGACGAACACAAATACTAAACATACGAGGAAATGTTCTAGCAATATCGAGATTGGATCTCTGAGATATGTTTTTTCTTGGGGATTGTTATGTTTGGGAATGAAACAGGACATGAGGAACAGTATGTGATAGAACTAGCTAACGAGGTGAGGAAGGTACTGGGAAGTGCAAACGCAGTAAATGAGGTGGAAACGGTTCCTGCGTCTCTGTCCGCACAAGGGCCGATCAAATCACAAACGCAGCTCTCGGCGTTTCAGCTGCCTTTGCGCCGTTCGGTCGCGGTTGCCACGGATTCGTAGGATTCACATTTGAGATTTGTGGGGCAAACCATTCCATGCTTATCCGGAGATAATCATGGGCGGTCGTTATCTATTTAATCGTAGAAGCTGCGTAGAGGTATCATGATATTGTTCTGAGTAAACCGGTAGATGAATTATGGATGTAACACCATTTTTCGAGTTCTCATCAAGAGAAAGATTGAATATTTTTGTTGACCTTTTTAATAAAGTTATGATCTTTATCTGAAAATCTAAAGAAAGTTTGAAACTTTACGATGAAAACAACAAAAATTCATGAAAACAGAGACACCAGAGATTAACAATGAAGAAAGAGCGACTTATTGGGAATGGGTTTTACAGGAATTTTATTTTCTGGATTCAACGAAAACATCACAGAAGAACAAAGATAGATTTGTTTCTCACATACATTATTATCTCGTCACAGTCACTGGGAATTCAGCCTCTGGATGTCGACCAACTGGTACAGATCTCCACGGCGTTGTTTGATCAATGGAAGACTTGTCCTGGAGATTGTACACAAGCAAGCATATGACAAAAGGGATTCAATCTGCAAGTGATTAATGTAATTGTGATTGATTTACCTTCTCTGTTCGAGGATAGAGTAATCAATCTCGGCTATGATCATGTCCTCCTCGTGCTCGGTTGTTGCCAGAACTTCCCCAAACTGTCAAAACCAGTTTATGTTCAAGTTCAGTGTTCAACCCAGATTTCATCATTACGGGCAGTTGCTTCTCGGGCTTTTAGGGTTAAAACTGAGAGAATTCTGCCGGAAATTACGGTACTTACGGGTCCCACAAGGGTCGAGTGGCCCCAAGCAACGTAGCCACCTTCGGGATCTCGGGCTGGGGAACAAGTAGCCACATATAACTGGAAGAAAACATCGTACGTAAGAAATACTATCCACGAATCGTTTTGATAATTCGAAGTGCGGGAAAACTAAATGAATGAATTGAATTGTGTTGGTTGTTTTTACCTGATTATCCGCGGCCCTGCATTGGAAAGAAAAGACATAAAGTAGTTAGAATTTAAGAAACAGAAAGTAGTTATCGATAAAACCTAGGAATTCTTTGTCATTGTTCAGGTAATGTATTTAGATAACAAATGTAAAAGAATTATTAACTTTACAGACATATAGTCACTGTGAATTGACCTAAACTAGAATTAAATTTAATTTGTCATAAAATGAAAAGAAAAAGAACTGCCTGATATTATATAATCTATATGGTTTTGCAATTCTGAAAAGCATAGCAAGTGGTTTCAGACCAGTGTATGACACTGAAACCATCGCTATGTGTTCCAAGAACACAAGTTAGTACTTAGCCCGAAATGCATCAAAATGTTAAGTTGGACAACATTACGAGACTATGAGGCTGTAGATTGTGTATAGCACCTCGCCCTTTGAAGTAATTCCCAATGCAATGGACCGGTTGTCATGTTAAAGGCTCCCGGGTAGCACAGCAAATGAGCACCTGAAATTACAAGAGCCAGTCGAGGGCCAAGGGATTTTCTTTAAAAAAGTTTTGGAAAAATAATGTGAAAACCTGCATGCAAGTCCATTAGGGGAAGCATATAAACTTCGGTCTCACCTCTTGCAGCATATATCATAGCCAATTCCTGAAACCGGATGTCATAACAGATGCCTATTCCAATCCGCCCGACATCTGCAATAAACAATAAAACCCTTTTTGTTTCTCTTTTCCTCACAGTGATTGATGTAAAAAGCTAAGCAAAAATGAAATCGGGTCAATCTTATCCTCAGATACTTAACCCGTAACCTCATTTTAGATACATAGGATACACGATTTTGCATGAACAGACTGAAAAAAAATATATTGAGAAAACCATGTAGAAACCTGTGTCCACGATTGTTGGTGTGTCCCCAGCTGTAAGTGTTTTTGATTCCATAAAGGTAATCTTCCCAGGGATGTCTATATCAAACAGATGTATCTGTAGACAAAATCAGAACAAACACCATTATGATATTGCAGCCAAAAAGTCGATATTTAAGATATATATTGCTGACATTGTTCATTTAGCTATAATCAAACAAGCTATGACGGTTTAATGTTAATCCTGAAAACTTCCTCCGTCGCCAAGTCATCAAGATTTTACAAGAGAAACAGGACAATCTTCAACAAGCAACTCTGTGTTCCAGAAGATAACATAGATGACTTGTCGAGTTCATGTTTTTTGTTGCACGAAAATCTGAAAAAGTTTAGATTGGAAAAAAAAAACAAAACCGACCTTGCGATGCTTGGCTTTCAGCTTACCATCCGAGCCAAAAACGCAACAAGTGTTGTACAAGCGGCCATCATATTTCTCAGGTATGGAGCCACCGACTACTGTAATCTTGAGACGGCTAGACACTTCAGAGAGCATTGCAGTAGACGGAGAAGCATCTCCACCGGCGTCAATGTCCTCCGCATAAACCGGGAAACTATCATTGGAGTAAGGACTGTTCCAGATTTCCTGAGACAAGCTCCCCGCGATTGAATCCCATCACCAGAAAAAGATTTCAAGTTCGAAACTTCTGAGACAAAACACTAGCCTGAACTCACAAAGTCAATCAAGTACAGAACAAGAACATCATAATTGACTGTCTAAGCAATCCAAATGCTTCTTCTTAAACTTACAAAACCCCACTTTTTAGACTTAATTAATCAAATTCACGAGAAATCAATATATTCCAAACTCTAACAATCCACTTCTTCTTTTGGGGATTCCTCGGAAAAAGAAACTCACGGGTAAGAGAACAAGCTTTGCACCCTTTGAAGCAGCTTCCTCAATGGCTTTCTTCGCGTGAGCAATGTTCCTCTCTTTATCAGCCGTGACAGAGAGCTGACACAACCCAATTTTGAACTGAAAATGCAGAAGACGAGAAACGCGAATACACCCACCAAGAAAAATCAATCAGAATCACGAAATTAATGAACACCCATGAAATTACAGACGAAAAGAGTGTACCTTTGTCAAAGGAGGCGTCGGGAGAGGAAGAGCAGGAGGAGCTCTGGCTTGTTCGGGCTTGAATGAGGAAGCCATGATCGAGGCGGGTCTCGCAGTCGATGTCGATCGGAGTTTCAGGGAGTGATGACCGGTAGGTATGAGAGGTGATTTGGAGAAGAAGACGGGTTTGAGGTAGACGGGCTGTGGGTGAAGAATGGAGCGATAAAGAGGATTAGGGTTTATAAGATTCTTGGAATGAAGGAGTGATGATGAAATTGCTTTCATTTCACGATCGCTGTGATGAATCAGACAGATTCCTTTCCTTGGTTAAATTCTTGATAATTAAATCGGTTTGGTGGCACCCAGCAGTGCACTGCTCCTCTCACACGTGCGTGATTACATACTGTGCATGTATATATATGTCTATACGCAGTTTTTCATCGCAAAGATTACATTACAACAACAATGCCTTATATCTCGAATTTAATTGGAGTTTCTTTTTCTATTCCGTTTCGATTTTGTGTAAAGAAAGACGTCACAACGAGCTATTGAAATCAGGCATTGACGGTAAGAAGCGCTCATCCACCCGAACCGGATAATTCAACCGGTGGAACGGGTGAAAAAACATATATTTCAAATCAAATAGGTAACTTCGGATCCCGAGATTAACTTGAACTTTAGCTTAGAATAACCGATTATCCAAAAAAACACGTTCATCAAGAACGATAAACAAGAAAGACATGAACATGGAGAACAGTACACTAGTTTCTGCCAAAACTTTTTTTTTTTGGGTTTGCAGAATTTTATTTTTATTTTTATTTTTGGTTCTTGCCGGTCATTCTTCTTCTTCTTCAATTGAAAGGTAACAAAAACAGACATGAACATGAACCAGAAGCACAACAGTTGTAACTCTTCTTCAACTGATGATGGTACTGGTAACTACTTCAAGTATACACATACACAGAAAGACCAAACCAAACCATCAGGGAATTTCCGCAGGGAATTTCAATCAGCATCGATCGTTTTCTGAAGTCAATGGAAACCAAAGAGCAATCACCTGTAAACATATGATAAGATCTTAAGAAAAGCAACCTTTGTTTTAGATGTGTTTCTTCCTGCAGCATTCTACTGTGAGTTCTTCCTCTGGATGTCGACCAACCGATAGAGATCTCCTCTTCGTTGCTTCGCCAGTGGGAGACTTCTCCTGACAATTACAACATATAGATGCGAAAAAAGGACGGTAAGAAGGAAACAGATATCGTCTCCATGAATTGTTTTCAACTCTTTTTACCGTCTCTGTTCGAGGATAGAGTAATCAATCTCGCCTATGACGATGTCCTCCTCATGCCCCGTTGTAGCCAGAACTTCTCCAAACTGTTCCCAAAAAGAAAACGGAAAACCCTCCTTCGAGTTTAGTTTACATTCGATTCCCTCATCATTCAGTGTCGCTTGGCTAATATACAACCTCTTATTTCATCAATCTTGGCATTGCACATTTGCCTCATACATATACATTTCATAAAACTTCAAAAGGCGGTGATATGAATTCAGAACCATATGTATATCAATTGGTTTTTGATGTTATGTCAGAGTAGTACGTGAAGTAAAGCGGGTACTTACGGGTCCTGAAAGGGTGGAATGGCCCCAAGCAGTGTATACAGCTTCCGTGTCTCGGGCAGGCGAACAAGTAGCGACATACAACTGCCATCGTTAGATAAAATACCACATATAAGACTATATAATATAACCGATCAACTAGTTAGCAGATTCGAAATATAGGATCAAGAAACTCTCAATACACTGACCTGATTATCGGCAGCACTGGCACAGGCAGGACAAAACAAGAGCACAAGTGTCAGTAAGGATTTAAGGTTTCGGGGCATGCTGTCAAGTGATTTTGAGCAACTCTAAACAAGGAACCTTTTGGAATTAAGACAATGTAGTCCAGTGTGATTCAAAGCAAACAATTACTCGTGAAAACGGGTTCAAACTTTTACCGTGATCTTATGTTATCAAGGTGAATAACAATAAATATTCACTTGAAAAAGAAGGTTCAATAATAAAGAAAATAGATAATAAAATACAAGGTACCATGCCCTTTGCACCAATTCCCAGAGCAATGCACCCGTTGTCATGTTAAAGGCTCCAGGGTAGCACAACAAATGAGCACCTGAAATCAAACAAGCCAAAACTTTGTTCGCGTTCTGAATCGATGTGGGTTAAGATCTAAGACTGGAGAATTGAGCAGTGGCATGCACGCTTAGCACGTTATTGAGACCGTCACCTCTAGCGGCATATATCATAGCCAATTCGGGAAAGCGGATGTCGTGACAGATGCCTATACCAATACGCCCAACATCTGCAGAAACAAAAGAACTGTTAACTATTTTTCGGTACAGTGATAGTGAACGAGAAAATAAATATAAGCAAGCATGAAGACCGTCAGGGCAAAAAGGTGATCAGATTTGATTCACAGTTTTTGGAAAGAAAAGATGAACATGTTTCTCAAGCAGACAAAGCATGAGCTCATGCAACATATACAGCAAAGTGCGTAACAAAGCACTATGAAAACCTGTGTCCACGACAGTTGGTGTCTCCCCCGCTGATACGGTCTCTGATTCCATGAATGTGTTTTCCCCTGGAATGTCTACATCAAACAGATGCAGCTACAGACACAAATGAGCAGAATGTTCCATTAGACTACTTGTTGTGGGAACAAGAATTTATTACAGTTGATTGAGGCTCGAGGCTGAGATGAGATCCTTTTCTTCCTTATCAGTTACTAGAATCCATAACCATGAAACAATATGAGAACTTAAAGATTAGAATAATATATATATATATATATGCATATATGAGCGAGAAACTAAAAACATGCAACGAGAAATCCTATGGTCCGGAAGGCAAAGCAGATGTGATCCAGAGACTAGAGATCGTATTCTCCCTCATGAAAACTTGAAAATGAAAAGCTCGATTGAAAATTTTCAACCTTTCGATGTTTGGCTATAAGCTTTCCATCAGAACCGAAGACACAACAAGTGTTGTACAAGCGATTCCCGCATCTTTCGGGTATAGAGCCACCCACAATGGTAATCTTGAGACGGTTGGAAACTTCAGAAAGCATTGCTGTTGAAGGAGACAAATCTCCATTAGCATCAATTTCCTCCGCACAAATGGGGAAAGAATCACTGGAATAAGGGTAATTCCAGAACTCCTGACACAAACTCCATAGAACAGAACCACGTCAGACAAGATTACAAGTACATGCCTCCGTATACACATAACGAAACATTAGCATAAACTCCTAGGCCATCACGGATCAAACTAGTCTGTCATAATCAAACGTTAGGGAAGAACTCGGACGAGCTAAATCCTTCTTAATTCTAAAGAAAACTTCGGGACTGAAGCCATTAAACCCTAACGATTCCCAAGCTATTAAAAAACTTAGACATTCCTTGGAAGAAAACAGAAACTCACAGGTAAGAGAACAAGCTGAGCTCCATTTGAAGCAGCGTTTTCAATGGCGTTCTTCGCGTTAGCAATGTTCCTCTCCTTGTCAGCTGTAACAGAGAGCTGACACAACCCAATCTTGAACTATACACGTCCCCGAACCGAATCGAAACAAAAAAAACACCAAGAAAATCGCATCAAATTCACGAAATCATCAAAAACCCACGAAAGTTCAAACCTAAAAAGAGTTTCTTGCCTTTGTCACAGGAGGAGTAGGGAGAGGAAGAGACATCGGAGATCTTGCAAGTTCTGGTACGAACGAGGAAGCCATCGTCGAGAAGAGTATCTCCGTCGGTTGGTCGGAGTGATAATTGTCGGACGAGAGAGAATTTGAGAGAAAAAATCGAATCGAATGAGAAGAGGAGAAAGGTTTGAAGAAAGATGGTAAAGTCAACGAATTTATTACATTATCTTGAAGTTTTCACTCAGGAATAAAGTCATGAAATTTATCGCATTTCTTCAGTAACGAATGATTTGAAAAATCGTTATGGAAATATGAATAAATTCTAAATTAGAAATATAGGGGGAGCCTTTGTACGGTGGTCAACTATGGTGGTCGCTTCCCAATCCGACCCAACTTCGGACTCTGCCTCATCTTATTAAATCCGCTTAATTTGGTCTTTTTGATTCCGTACTTTCGCATCCATCTCTCTCTCCTCGCACTCTGCAAATTCTCGGAGCAGGTCAAATCCTTTTCTCGTCTTTTCCCTCCTTTTGCTCCCTCTCTCTCTCTCTCTCTCTCTCTCTCTCTCTAAGCGCTTCACTGAGGTTTCGGCCTTCGGGTATGATGGACGGAAGCGGCGCGTACAACCCACGCACGGTGGAGGAGGTCTTTAGGGATTTCAAGGGTCGTAGGGCTGGGATGATTAAGGCCTTGACCACCGGTAAATCTTATATTTTCCGATGCTATTCTTCGTTTTCCTAGCCGCATCTGACGTTTCCTTCGTTTTTTTTTTCTTTTCCTGGATTCGCTGCCTTTTTCTTTCTCTTCATTATTACACTCTCACTCGAGAGCTTTATGGGTAACTGACTGTGTTTGGTCCGTTTATCGCAGATGTCCAAGAGTTTTACCGACAGTGTGATCCCGGTGAGTGTTTTTTTCCCAGATTGCTTTTTGGTTTTCGATACCTGCGAACATCAAAGCTACAGGTTTTCTACTAAAAAAAAAACATCAAGCTTTTCATTTCGTTTGTGGTTATTGTTTCGAAATGGGATGTGGGATCGAATAATTAGGGTTTTGTGGGTCTTGCATTCGTTGCGAATAGAATCTTTCTCCAGTGGGTTTGTTTTGCTTGCTTTTTTTTTTGGAACGAATCAAGTTGGGGAGGATCGCGGAGACAAGGATAGCTTCTTTGTTTGACTTGGTTGGATTGAGTTTTTGAGTTCTGTCTTTTTTGAAATATTTTATGGTCAAATTTGGATGATTTCTTTGTAAGGTCTCGTTTTGGATTCACCTTGATGTGTTCTACAGCTTCAGCATTTTACTTGAATTGTGTTCTTTGTGATGGAAGTGCAATAGAGTTGGCTTGGTTGGAGTAATGTTCTTTGAGGTCTCTAAAGCAGCTAAATTTGCCAAAGAATTGGTCTTTCCTTACTTTATATCAGTTGGCATTGTGTTTCGGCTTTCAAAGTCGAAAATGGAAATTTGGCTGTTCATTGATTTTACGAGGAGACCACGGATATGAAGATGTAAACGTTATTCTGTTCGATGTCAGATTTGCTACACTCACTCTCGTTTGCCGTTTAAGCTCCATCTAAGTGTGGAATATTTACTATGTATGTTAAATGTTCTCTCTTGCTTTCCTGTGTTTACATATACAATGACCCTTTTCCGGAAATTGTCGTGGACAGTTTCTAAATCCTGGTTTTGACCTCAGGCTAAGAAATAATAACCCATTGTCTCTCCCGTTTTGCCTAATTTAGTCGTTTACTTCCATATATGCCTTGGATTCTTCTATTTCATCATGTGTTATTAGGGCTAGTGATCTCTGGGAAAAAAATATGTGCTATATTTTCGGTTTGGATATATTGATGGTCCCTGGCTCAGATTTTATTACTGTGTCCAGATGATCTTACAGCGTTATTTCTGCATTGCCCTCGTCGCTTATCATTACAGAAAAGGAGAATCTATGTCTTTATGGACACCCGAATGAGCATTGGGAGGTGAATTTGCCCGCTGAAGAGGTTCCCCCAGAGCTCCCGGAGCCTGTTCTGGGCATCAATTTTGCCAGAGATGGAATGCAGGAGAAGGATTGGCTGTCTTTGGTTGCTGTCCATAGCGACGCATGGCTTCTTGCCGTCGCTTTCTTCTTCGCATCTAGGTTCGGATTTGACAAAGCTGATAGGTTAGTTTCTTCTCTCCCCGAGCTTTCATGACTGGAAAAGACTTCTGTCTTGTCTTTGCATGTCTCTGGTGTTCTCTGATTGGCTTCAAGGGAAGTTGAAATGCTCCATGCTTTACTGTTTTTCAATGTCTTATGTCTGTCTCTTGCCAAAATCAATCTCTGTGCGGCTTATGTCATTGACCGATATCATTTTTGACGTAGGAAACGGCTTTTCAATATGATCAATGATCTCCCAACTATATTCGAGGTTGTCACAGGAACCGCCAAGAAACAGTTGAAGGAGAAATCGTCAGTTTCCAACAATAGCAGCAACAAATCCAAATCAAACTCCAAGGTAAAGGGTTTTGTTCATTCGCATTTGGGGAGTGTCCAATTGGAATTGTGATTTTACCATCTTTGAATTAATAGGAAAATTTTAATGGCTGCTTACAGCATGTAATTACTATCCATTTCTGGTGTGACAAATATGACATGTCTATGTGGTTTGTCTGTACTAACTAAATGCTTGCCCTTCTCCGATTTTCCTCGTGCAAAACTACAGCGTGGGTCAGAACCGCGAGGCAAGTACTCGAAGACTACGGCCAAGGATGAGGAGGAAGACGAGGGTGTGGAAGATGAGGAGGATGAAGAGCAAGGGGAGACACTATGTGGCGCTTGTGGAGAGAGTTATGCGGCTGATGAATTTTGGATCTGTTGTGACATTTGCGAGAACTGGTTCCATGGAAAGTGTGTCAAGATCACTCCAGCGAGGGCTGAACACATCAAGCAATATAAATGCCCGTCTTGCAGCAACAAGAGGGCTCGATCATGATCATAGTGCTCGTCTTCAATTTCTCGCCTCCCTCACCCTGTGTATTCTTTGGCATGATGGACATGACAGCTAACTGTCTTGTTAGATCAGGTTTGTTCCTAGAGACATGTGATTTGGTAATGGTAGGAAAGTGCCCTTTTGTCTTGCAGCGTTAGGAAGTTAAATTGGTAGCCACAAAAGAAAATCAGTCGCCCGGCTTAGGAAATCCAAGTAGAGCTCTGGTTGGGAAAGGTATTCATTTATAGTACCGAACCAACCGGGCAAATCGGGCAAATTCTTTTCAATGGCGATTGAATGAAGTTAATCTCATGTTTTATACCTCCCCGGTGCTTGTTGCTATGTTTTATGCCCGTTTGTGAGAGAGAAACGCATTCTTAAACTTCACTGTTCTGTAGTTTCGGAATCAGGTTGAGTCGATTTTGCTTCAGAGATATGACAGGTTGCATTTGCAGAGTTACGTGCTGTTTCCGTGGCTCGGTCTGTTCACCGGATTAAAATCTGGTATGGGGCCTCGTCTTCCTGCCTGTATCTGTGGCCATTTTATGTCGAGTTTCGGATTCTCAGTGTTGGGTTTTGTACTAAAGTGTGTGGCTTTTGCCTTGGTAATAGCTTACTGATTCACAATGGAAAGGAGAAAGTGTTCATCATTGGTGGGATAGGATAGGATTTAGATTAGATTCTCAAGTAAGATGATAAGGCTTGTGTTTGATTTAAAGATCTGATGCCGTCATTGTTTCTCTCTGTTTCTCTGTTTGGAAACTAAGAAACGGAGAGAAATTCTGGGAAAATGAAGAGGAACAGAGTACAGTTTCTGGAGATTTTTCGGTGTATTCTCATTGGACAAGTTACACGATCTAACTTCAACCCGTAACGCAGACTTCGTATAGATTTGGTTCACAAACGAGTTGAGAGCGTTCGCTATATAATACAAGAACTAAAGATATAAAGACAAAATGATGGATCATTTTATTATTGTCGTCGTCATCAGCAGCAGTCTTGTCTCTTTGCAGACAAGCGTTTCAAGAACTCGTAGGTTGTGATCATGGTGGTTGCAGACATTGACATGGAAACCCATCTTGGTCCCAACCCTCTGTAACAAGCTCCCAACCCTCCTTCCTTCATCAAGTTCCTCACTGCCTGAAAGACCGTCATCGGTCTTCTTCTACCGTTATCTTCCACGTCCAACACCTGCAACCTCGTCTTTATAGTGTCTAACGGCATAGTGATCAAAGCCGAACACCCACTCGCTATGGCTGCACTCGCGGCTTGAACCGCCATCCTCGCCTTTGAGCTGACGTCACTGTCTTTTTCCTGGCCGAGGTTGTTACATCTAAGTCCGGACCAGATTGATCTCTGAGCCGTGGAATACGATGCCCACCAGACAGCATTCGACGGTGCATAAGTCAAGATCGAGATCCCAAACCCTCTGTAGAATCCTCTCGGCCCATCTGTACGCAGAATCTTTCTGAACGCATCCATCCCGTTGGCGTATCTGCAAGAACTTACACTCGGGATATGCTTGTTTAAGGCAACGTTGCCTTGGACCATAAGCCGCTGGCTAACGACATCGATCGGGGTCCACACCAGCTGAGCAGCCATGGCTGAGCTCAATCCGGCGGCCCCACTGGCAACTGCGACTGCTGTCGTGTCCGAGAATCCTAACCTAAGTGTTGCTTGGCCTACACTGCTTTTGGTGATCTCTAGAGCCGCCATGTACAGAGCTCGAGCCGGGACAGTTCCAATCAGGGAAGTGCCAAAGCCCTTGTAAAACCCTCTTAGACCCTCGAATCTGGCGATGGCTAGAGACATACTGGCGCAGGAGATTCGAGCCGGGGAGACTTGTTGTCGGGTTTTGAGGACAACAATCGGGTAAAGAACGGACGATACGCCCGAGAAGAGAGCGGCTCCGAGGAAGAAGAACTTGGATTTATCAAGCATTTGCCAGTCTACATCTGCAGGCATATGTACCTGAGATGTTCTTCCCGGTCTTTTCTTCTCTCTCATCACTGCAGCTAAACTCATTCTCACCCTTGTCTTAGAACACAACAAAAAACCTAAAAGACCTTTTACCAGATCGAATCTTGCACGACCAAATCCCAAAGTATCAAACTTTTTTTCTGGGTTTTCTTCCTAAAAGCTCGAAAAAACAGAAAGAGCTTCACTTCAATGGCACTGAAATCGTCTGAAGAAGTTGAAGACCCTCCGTCTGATGAGAGAGAAAGCAACCGGTTCCTTCTTCTCCGCTGGGGTGAGAGATCAAGTACAAAAATGGAAGAATCGAGCCCAATTTAGAGACGCTTGATCACAGAGAAGGGTTTGATGTGTGTATGAGCGTGAGGGAGGGAGAGGGATGAAATGGTCAAGAGGGTTATTTCAAGACGAAAGAGAGAAGACAAAACAAGTAGCTGAAGCTCTGAGATTCTTACCGGAAGAAAATCTTAGGGTTTATCTTCAAAACTATGAACCTGATACAACATCCCATCGATACATACACACACACGCACGCATCCCATATATATACAGAGGGAGGGAGCACAAAACGATGGGTCGTATGACTCTGAGAGAAACAAAAGGTCAGAAAAGGAAAGGACCTTTAACGGAATGGGAGAGAGGAGAGAGGAGAGAGGAGGGAGAAGAGGAACACGTGGCGAGCGTTCATTGGTGGGACTACGAGAAGTTAGCCGCTTTTAAGGTTACATCCAAGCGGTGGTGGTGGCTCATTCGCACACTTGTTTCTTCATTCTGTGGGTTCATCCATGTCCTTAATTTAAATAAAAAAAACATTACTACTATATTTACTTATTTGTATCAAAAATATTTTTTCTAATAATTAATCACATATATTTTAAGAATTAGTGCATTGATTGATTGTAATTTGTCGGATTGATTTCCTCAATCTTATTATTTGCATAAAAAAATCAAATATTTAGGATTTCTTAAGGATTAGCGTATTCACTCTCCATGCTATTACAAATGAAGCGAATGGGCATCGTGTGGATTGTCGGAAAACCATCATAGTCATGGAAATTAGGAGGGGGTATAATATCCAAAAAAACCGAACCGATCCGTTATTGGATCTGTATCCGAACCGAAAATTCGGATATCCGGAATTTACAAATCGGATACGGATATTTAGTTTAAAATATTTGTCGGATATGGATATCAAATTCGAATTATCCGGTATATCCGATCCGTACTAATTAATAATATTATTAAATATAAAAATAATTTGCTGTAGAGATATAAAATACTTTATACTTACATATTTTGTAGATATATTGAAGAAATATTTTATGTATATTAAGATTTAGAATGTTTAGTCTGATTTAGAATGTTTAGTTTTTTGAATATTAAGTTTTATTTTGTTTAATTTTTTAAATTTTGAATTTTCAATATATTTGTATATGATAGATTATGTTTATATTTGTATTTGATTTGATTTAAAATATTTAAATTATGAATTTTTAAATTGTGAATAACATTTATATTAAAATAATTTATATAATTTATTTATATTTGTAATTTTTATTTAAATTTGAATCAAATTCTTATATTTTTTAAATTCTTATATTTTTTATGTCAAATATGGATATTCTCAAATATCCGCGATATTTACGGATAAAATATGAATCGGATATAAATATCTCAAAAATCACGGATTTATACACACAACTAATAAAAATATTATAATATATATATATATAATATGAATTTAGTATGAAGTAGGGTAATGAAAAAAAGGTCAAATGCATGGTGATTACCATAATCTTCATGGACGACAAATTTTCAGGATCGGGAATTCAAATATAAATATCATGTACATGGGAAATTATTTTGATAATTTATTAATACCCCAAGAAGGTTCAATCATAAAAAAAAAAAAAAGTACTTGCAAGGATTTAACCATCATGCCGTTTGAGAACAGTGTGATGTGGACAACATGCCGTTTTTCGGGGGGAGGTCAGGTGAGGATCTCAAGAAGATTGCCTCTTGTTTTCTTTTTTCCGTTGGCCCCGTTGAGAAGCTCGAGCACCCACTGATTCTCTCACACAAAAGATCAAACAATGGACCATAACATATCACTGGTTGGAAACGTCGCCGTTTTGAACACTTACACTTCCCAACAAATCGGACAAATAAATCTGAAATTCGATAATATTCGAAAATGGGTATTCGTCTATCGACGGAATAAAATCAAATAAATCCGACAATTAGTTATTCGTCCAACGACATCATCATTCCTTGATTTGTTTTTTTTTTTTAATTCCTCGAACTCAATTTGATTTGAGATATATATATATATATTATGGTATTGTAATTAATAATAAAATAATTATTTGGTGTGGTCTAGTGGGCTAAATAGATCATATCACATCATAAAGTCGATCCATACTCTTCATAATGCTCTAAAACAAAATCATTGCAAACTCCCCTGTTTTTACTTGAAACTATCCAATGCATGTATATCTTTATGTATATTTATTCGAGTTTTTAATTTTTTTTAAAGAGTTTGACTGTAAAATACAGAAGAGAGACTCAAGAGATATATCACACTCTAATTTGGTTTAAATTCCATTCAATTTCTATTTTTATTAATAAAAATCTTTAATTCTTTAAGATATTTTTTATTTTTCAACTGTTTATTATTTAATTCAAATGGAATTTGGATTTTTAAGTTTAAAAAAAAATATAACCGTTCAATCTTTGGATTTCATATCGATCATGGTTATATGTCATTTGGTCGAGTTATGTTACAAATATTCTCATGGATTTTTCGGCGCTGCACTTTTTTTTTTATAAAGAAAATTCTATAAAGATGAAAGGGTAAGTCAGAAACTGTAAATCCTAAAAAAATAAAAAATAATAAAAAATTTGGGAGTTTCTTCTTCGTTTAAAAAAGAACCAAAACCTTTCTCTTCATAATGTTACAATGCCAATTGCTACAAAACTTGTACGGTGAAATAAGATGAATCAAAGGTAAAGTGACAACACAAAGTAAGAGAGAACAGAACCCGGTTTTCGGAGTTGGCATCATCTAATACGGCTTTCTCCTCCCTCGATTGTCCGTACTATCGAGGCAGATCTGTCTGGAATATGACCAAGCTCTGAACATCTTCGGCCAAACAAACGAGCGGCGGATCCCGTTTCTTCTCCCGGATCTTGCTTTATTCCCCTGTTTGAGAGTTTCCGACTGTAGATTATTATCACCCGTGGTCGTCCTAACGAACAAGGCGATGAAGAACCCTTCTTTGTCTTCGACGGGATCCATCCTGAGCAAATGTTCGGCTGCAAAAGCGGAAAAAATACAAACTATGATCAGTTCCGGTAAAGGGACCAAGCAGATGGTAGGTAATATGAGCGGTACTTTACATCCAGGGAAAACCGGAAGGCCACGGCGATTCCACTGAGGAAAAGGAGTTGTGAGTTTGAAGCCAAAGGATGAGGCGAGCGGTAAAACAGATGCTACGACGTCTTCGTTCTCTATCTGGTGAATGGAGCACGTGCTGTATACAACTCTCTCAACCTGTGGAACTACATTGCAAGAATCGGATCATACCCTAACCGACATGTTTGATAACTTTCTGTTTATACAGATTATATTTATGCATTTGTAGGGCAAAAACCTAAAAGAGAAATAATGATGACCCAAATGGAGGATCCATAATTGCTAAATAGCAGAAGAGGTAAAATTCACAATCCAGAATAATTAAGATATCTCAAGATTTGAAAAATAGAACATCTGCAAATATGGTGCGTGTAACTAAGGGCAAAGGGAAGACAAGAAACCAAAGGAAAACATGTTTCAGTACAACATGAAGACAGTGTTGAAACTTACAGGAGAGTGCATGGGCAAGAGCCTTCTTCTGGAAAATGGCAAGCTTGTGCAATCTCATTGTGTCATAGTTAGCGGAATTATCTGTAAAGACAGGAGTTTTGATGTTTTTAAGTCCTATGGTTTATTATGAGAATAAAGATGTGTTTCTCAAAATAAACCACCCGACATGAGGAAGAATTTATTTGTTACCGGCAGTATGAGAAGGAAGGAGATGGTCCAACCGATCAGCAGTGGTGCCGGAGCCCGAGCACGAAGGATCCAATAGTATAGCCCGAACCTGCAGAGTAAACACACGCATAAGCATGATAACAAACTTGGGCAACAATAATAACCCATGTCATATAGAACTTTCTTATTTGCAAACGCAGGAAACTGGTAACTTGGACAGTGCATAGACCTGGCTAGCACTGTTCATTTCACTACGTTAATCGATTGGGTATCCAGATAGAGACCAAGGCAAAAGCTGGTGAAGAAACAGGGCCAGGTAACACACTAACTGGAGATATCTCAGAAGAATAAGAAACTAAGCTGGTGAAGAAACAGGGCCAGGCTTATTCAAATGTCGGTCCATGTCATGGAAAAAACTTGAAAAGCAGACACTATCAGTTAATACTTACCTTTGCAAAAGAAGGGTCCTCTGGATTTAGGCCCAAAAAATCACCATGAAAGACTTCAATATCTAGACCCAGGGTCAAGCAAAACAATCATGTGAAGAAGATTGTGGCGGGCAAGCAATGGGTCCAAGATAAAATAACACGGTGAGAAACACAAGAGGCAGGCATTTATCTAACTCACTCTCACTCATACTTCAATTCCTGTAAACTTTTTACCAGAAGCTTCGGACAAGATATCGAATAGAAATTAAAAAGAACTGAGATGGCTTAAAAACAGAGGATACTAGAAGCACCAGATAGCTTAATAGTCTGCTCCAGGCGCTTTACCCGTTCCTTGTTTAGTTCACATGCTACGAGTCTTCCTTTTCCTTTCATGAGGGCAGCGAGATGGACAGTTTTATTTCCTGGAGCTGAACATGCATCAAGAACCTTCACAAAAAGAGTCCAAAATAAACACACTATTACAGTCGGTAAAATAAATTATACCGCGGACAAAAGCCCAACTCCACCATCAAGGAAACAAACACAGAATGCGACAAAGATGTGACCTAATCTCTTGCATGCTTCTTGAAATGAAAATTTCCAGGAAAACTGTTACAACATGATAACATGAAACGCAACAATCAAATCTCACACCTCCCATCCTGGTTCTGGGTGAAGTGCTGCAGCCACCATAGAACTTGCCTTCCCCTATGATAAATTAAGAGAGACAATATGTCAGAATTTTTCCTTTTAAGAAATCTCAAGATTCACACGAATTACCTGTAAAAATATATTCCCATTCTTAACCAGAGGATGGTCATGCAAATCACTGCCAGGAGGCATCACCAACAAGTCAGGGACTATCTCATCTTTTTGCACCTATTTCGAAAGTGAAAAACATACGAAGATAAAATAGGGATCAGGGAAACATTAAGCCGGACATGAAAGAGAAACACAGCTTCATATATCCAAGATTTCAACTTGTTCACTAGATGAAGATGAACATTGAACAGCATGAAAGAAAGCGACCCAGGTGATGACAGGAAAGAGAATTCACCACCTTCCCCAATAATGAACCCTAATCTGTTAGTTTACTAAGTTAAAATTGAACAACTATCCAATACATCCCAACCAACTGAATGCTTTGCTTATCATAGATCTTGGAACTTACAGTATATTGTTTCTCCAGTTCATGCATTGCCGAACCCACATCCATCTTAAGCGTATTTACACGGACATAACGTGGTTTTGAAACGTCTGCGAACAAAACACCCAATACAATATAAAGATTAACGGAAGCAAAAACCAGATTTTCCATTGTGGAAACAGATAACACCCTATTTATTGTGCACTGAGTACCAAAATGTTGAGAAGGAACCATCAACTCGTCAATGCTTTTGACTTTCTTTCTCACTAGAAGCTTGGCTAGAGCCGACAAAAGAGCATCTTTCCGTCCCATGAGAAACTTCTCAGCATCACCAACTGATGGCATATCCTGAGATTAGAACGGCCTTCAGAAAACCAAAATGTAGGCTCTATGCAGAAAAAAAAACTTCTTAATCCATATACTTCTCGAAAATTAACCACTTGATACAGTAATTAACTTCTGATGGCAAAAAATGTCACCTTGTTCAGATCATTGTACCCTAAACATGAAAATCGATCAAAAAGACAAGGTATTACCTGACCAAAGAGGATGTCATAACAAATAATGTAGATCAACGCCTCTTGCCTCTGCAATAAAAAATCAGAAAACCGCTAAAGAAACAAAACACTGAGTAATTTCAATCAGGGAAAGCAGCATCACTAGCACATGCAATTGCTCCACATACCTTCCATTTGCTATTCAGTACATTGGCAATTTCCAGCACATCCTTGATGACATTAAGATCTGTAAACAATTTCCAGAACAGAATATTCTTATAATTTCAAAGCAAAATTCCATGTTAAGCTGCAAATGGTACATGAAACCCAAGCTCAGAATCTAGATGGGATGTCGAAAGGAACATTAGGTTCGGATGATGTTCTTCGAGACTTGAGTATATAGAGGCAAAACCCAAAATCACCATTGTCTCATACCCAAAAGCATAAATCGAATACCCAAAGAGGAATAACCCTGAAATCAAAAACTTTCTCGGAAACCAAGCAGATAAAAGCTTACGCTTGAGCGTTTCGCATACAAGAGCAAAGGTTGCGCGCTTGTTGCGAACGGAAGGGCTGTAGACGAGAGACTTGATGGAGGCGACGGCTCGTCGCTCGGCATCGCCGTGGAGAACGCATCGGAGAATCCTCGCCGCCTCTCTTCTGGCGAAGTAAGCTGATCTCTCTGCGCCGGAAAACGGTTGTTTCGCCGGCGGTTTTCCGGCAACTCGCTGCGGCGCGTTTGCTCTGCCACGCGCCATGACTTCTCGGAAAGAAAACCCTTCCAAAACCTTGAACTCATGGCTATCAAATTAAGCTCTCTGAAACGCACCGTTTCATGCCCCTCCCCAAAAGTAATAATATCTAATTTCCGTTTTTCTCTTTCCCCAGTTTCTTTAGTGTATTAGGAGGTATATTAAAAGATCTCGATGGAGTGGGTTCGGTCGGGTCGGGTCGGATATTTGGTTTGAATCCCTAATTGGTTTGAAAGTTTTGGCTCCAGATAAACCTGATTTTTTGGATTTATATAATCAAATACGGAATTCGACCCTATAAATTTCGGATTGGATCGGGCCGCTCAGTTCTTTTGTTATTTTATTTTTATTTTTTAAAATTTTTTTTTTTTTAAAATATCAGATTTTCGGACCAATCCTAATTGAACCCAAAATTTGAATAGAACATGACCAGAAAATCCGAGTTTTTTCGAATAAAAAAACTTAGATCTGAAATCCGATATTTTTTTGAGTGACTTAGGTCGGGCTTCGGACCTATGTATATCATTATCATCCGCAAAGTGTATAAGATTATTATTTCATGTTGTTAGATATAATCTGCGAAATAATTTATCATATAGTTTGTAATAGTAATTTATTATAAATCAAATTTTTAACGTAGACAAAAAGGAAAATAAAATAGATTATGAAACATGCTCGATGTAACTGGAAGCAAGCACCATTCGTTTCCACAGTTGCAAAAGGGAATGCGAATTAGAATGCTGCAGAATATATTTACGTCAATATACAAGTGTGTGCGCGCGTATATGTATATATATAATTGGAGATTTCGGTTCGGTTTAGATAAAATTAGAATTTTTCATTAAACCGGTTCTTGGTTTACGCGGAATATAATTTGGCTCTGCGATTGCCAAACCGAGGCGCCTTTGTCAGATTCCGCCGAACAATAAACGATGCCAGATGAAAGAGTCAGTGTTCATAATTATATATTAATTTGGAATTTGGTAATAAATTCGTGTGTTATTGTCTGTGTATTTGTGGATTAAAATTTTGGTGAGGATAACATTTGGCTTCAACTTAAGAAGAGGAGTTTCTTGAGTAGAAAATTCAAGGTTCCAACTTTACCTAACAAAGGAAAATTACAATTAAAACTTTGAAGAGTCAGATGAGACATCAAGTCTTTTTGGTCTTTGTTGATTCAATTCATTTCAGACTTGAAATCTTTTCCAATACATATGTATATATATATATATATATATTATATTAGCTTTGTGATTAGAAAATTGTTTACGAGGAAATCTTATGGTTCTAAGAATCTCAATGGATCTTTTTCAAATCTACTAAATGAAGCGACTTACATATTGACTTGATCTCTCTATAAGTCAGCCACCAACTCATTTTTCAACAACATTTAATCATCAATTTTTTCCTTTACCAAAAAGTTATATATATATATATATATATATATATATGTCTTTTTGTTAGAATTTCAAAAAAGATAAACATATTTTCATATTAGAAATAAAAATAAAAATAAAAATCTCTAAAGTCATATGAAAAAACTACCATTACCTTATGTAAGACTCCTTTGGAAGTCGAGTTGGTCCGAAGATCAAAGTAAATTAGTTGACTTCAAGTTTGCTTAAGAAACATTTGTGAAAACTGAAAACGGATAGATATAAAAGTAATGGTTTTGGTCCTTGCACGAGAATTGATTTTAATTTTTTTTTTAAAAGACATTCTGAATAAAAACAAAAAACAAGTCAACGGTAAGTCTTTCTCACAAAAAAAAGTTTTTTTTTTATCCTTCACACCACCACCGCCACCACCTTCGTATGAAAGTTACCACATGAACACGTATTCACAACACACGCACACATATACATACATACGTACGTACATACTTATATACGTACACATCCATGTGATATAACACTAACCTTGAAACTTCGTAGGAAGCTTTTAGTCTTCGTCAATCGTCACCCGAGTTGCGCCTTCTCCACGCCTCTCAACAGGAAACGAAAATGGCACTTCTATAGAACACATACATACACACGCCTGTATATATACCCATATATATATATATGCATAGAACATGAGTCGGAGTGAAGAAGATATTGGGAGGATGAACTTAGCAAGGAGTTTCAGCAATGAAACCCAATTTGGGTTCGAGTTGTCAGAACTGTGCTTATCGGAAGAATGGATGGATGATGATCTTGCGTCGGTGGTTTCGGGGCAGATGCAGCAGAAGATGCATCATTTCGATTTCGGGTATCAAGCCAGCGATGTTGGCAGTTACGAACGAGGTAGCTCTAGCAACAACATTCCCGAAATACCAAGTACTGATACTTCTTATACCACGGCTGCAGCTGCTAGTAAGTGTTTTTTTTCCCTGGAGATCTTTCCTAGATCGGATAGTCCTGAAACAACACAAATATCCATAGGATTAAGGCTCATCTCGATCTCAGAGAATTTCAAAATAACGTTAAAAGACTCAAGAATCAGAGTTAGTTTTTTTTTTGGTTTATAAATCATATGCCCTCTCGAGGGTTTCTGAGGAACCAGGACCTTTAAAACCTGAATTCACAGTCCTGTCATTGTAAAACTAAGAATCTAAGCGCTTAGAGTATTCAAGTCTTTAGTCATCAGAAACCAAAACCAAGACTTCTATTCTTGAACATAATGCAGTATTCTTTTGTTCTTATTTTGTGTAAGACGGAAATGAGAACGAAACCAAGAAAGAAAAGAAGACAGTAAAAGAGAGAGTGGCATTCAAGACGCAGTCTGAGGTTGAGGTGCTTGATGATGGGTACAAATGGAGGAAGTATGGGAAGAAGATGGTGAAGAACAGCAAATATCCCAGGTACAAGCACAAATTTCTCGGGTTTTTAATCATTGTCGTTTGAATTCAATATTTCAGTTTCTCGTGCCAATTGGTACCTCATCATTCTTGACTCGTGATCTCCCTGAAGGAACCAACATAAAGCTACGAACTCTTTTCAATATCTAAAAAAGAAGAGTCAGAAAATGACATACCCATTATAGAAGAGCTCGGTTTCTAGGCTTTTCAAATGCCCTCGGACCTGCAGAATACAAGAAACATAATATGAGCACGTATCGCTAGTATGTGATGATTGATTATGCGTAATTTGCAGGAACTACTACAAATGCTCGGTTGACGGATGCCCCGTGAAGAAAAGGGTAGAAAGAGATAGAGATGAACCGAGCTTCGTGATAACAACTTACGAGGGATCCCACAATCACTCGAGTATGCACTAGATTTTTCGGGAGTTTATCCGCATCTTTTCCAAATCTATGGCAGAGCTCAAGAGAGAAGACTATGGTGATCTGAGGAATAATGGTGGACAAGAAGCTCCAGCATCCGCCATATGATTCTCTGCCCTTGACCCACCGTGCCTTCCTGTGGATAAGAAAGAACTAAGAACAGAAATGCATATGGACTATATAGCAGACATCGGTACTAGAGATTTATTATACTTATGCCTTTTCACATCTATTCTTGTAAGAGATAAAAATATTCGAGATATACAGCATCCATAAATATGTAGTACTCTTATACTTTCTGCTTTGTCATATCACGAACACTGAAGAGACTCTTATCCAACAAAGCGTTACCATCTCATGAATCAATAATCTTGGAAATCAATGCACATATAAGTAGAAGCTTACCACATTGACCACGATGCCATTGATGAACTTAATGGCAACCTACCAGCCACCAAACACCTACAACTGGATTATGAATCAAAAGATGAGGATGAGGAAGCTGTACAAGAGGAAAACACTGAGTCGAAGGCAATAGAAAAATTACTAACCAAAGCTCTATGTCAAGAAATGGATACCACGGAAAAGAATTAGCGTGCATACCTCGAGCAACTGTGTTGAATCTGGTCTGAACCATGCGAGAGTCGGAGGGAGATCATGAAGCATGCTTAGCCTTTGTTGCCGAGAGGCATCTGGAGCTCATTGTGACCCTGTTTTATCCCTAAATCTCCACCAAAGCAATAGTTAAACTTGGAGAGAAACCATTAATTAAGGTCGGCACATAATCGAGCAGATAAAGGATCTCGGTTTATCAGAAGAGATTAACATTTATGTAATTAATTACACCATAAGAAACAATCCTCATACATCGCAATCAAGACTGCTTTTGGTAGCACGAAGTGGTAAGAAGAAAGCAGTATACCCATACACAGAAGGAAATTCTACCATCACGGTCTAGATGTTCTTTCATTCGGGAAATTCACATCAGGATTTCTCGTAAACAGAGCAGAGGCAGAACAGCTACTCGAATTAGATTCTTGATCGTGGCTGCTGGTCGTTATGCTCCATAATGTGTCTTGGGGCTTACTGGATGCTTGCGGGTTTGATACTATGATAGCCTTTGATTTCGAAGATGGAAGCTTGACAGGTTTCCCCATACCACTAGCAAGCAACCAGCGTGCTCCGGACTGTTGCTGTGTTTTCGTCCCCCAAGGATGGTCTACACCAGACTCAGTTTTCAAACCTACAAGACTAATCTCAGTGATTCCCCAATCCAATTCAGAAGCTTCTTCATTACTTTGATATTCAGCCAATCTATACAAACACGGGTTAGAGGAATCAGAAGGCCTCTCGACTTGGATCAAAGCAAGCATAGTTGGGCCAACCGGTTCATAGTTTCGAAATGGGTCTCTAAGCATTACCCTTACACCAAGTGTCAATTCATTCCCCAAGATATGATGCTTTCCGCTAGAAGCTCTCTGTTGATCAGCATGATGAGCTGAAAGAATCTTTATCTTTTCATCACTCATTTGACCTCCATCGTTTGTAAATCCAGTATCAAGTTTTAACCATTCGTTCAAAGTAAAGCAGAAACCAATTAACTCTGAAGCACCAGAGGCATCCATGAGTTTTGGTTCAATGCTTGATGGTGCATCTTGGTCTGACATGCCACACTGAATCCTTAAGCCTTCTATTGAGAGAGATTCAATCCTATCCATAGCTAAAGCAGCAAGAGCTTCGAGAGGTGCATAACCCGATATCATATGAGATCGACAAGATCCAAATTTTTCTTCTGAATGAAATGAACCCAGCTGATCTGATGAGTTCCGGTCCAAGGCAGCTCTACTGTTGTCAGAGCAATCATGCATCACTCTGCAAAGCATAGGAATTAAGATTTAAAAAAAGATGAAAAATAAATGTTGTGGGAATAAATTGTTTGAAATAGAAACATAACGCTTCAGGCATCAACATGGTAAAAACATCAGAGTATCAGACCTCTCAGGGGCCGAATCTTCAGCTACTTCATGTATTGTCTTCCCAGTAATATCCTCCAAAGGCATCAATGCATTAACCTGAGAGCAAAGTCCTGAAATTCCAGAAGATACTATACTCTGCAATATCTCGATAACATCAGAACCTAACTCCGATGCTAGCACCACTGGAGCTGAAACTTGCATGATAAGACGCGCCACATTCTTGGATTTTCTCAACTGTAAGGGATTCATCGAACGGATATACCCTCCTCCTTTTGTTTGGACAAAAGGCCCAAGATTATCACCAAGAGGAGGCAGATCAATTCTCTCGTCAACCGGAAGCTCTATCGGACTTCCAAATCCATCAGAACGAACACGTGAAGAGTTTCGAAAGATGTTTTCATTTAAACCCCACTCTCGCATCAAAGTTTCAGTCTCTAAGTTTTCTAGCACCTTGGCCTTCCTTCTATTTATTAGCAATTCAGCTTTGTCCTTACCGATGTTTTCATCAACACCCTCAGTACTTGAAGTGAATGAGAAATCTTTGTCCTCATCGTCAATTTCATAAGCGTATTCTGCTTCCCCATCAAAATCTAAGAAAAAACCTCCAGAAGCCAAAGCCTCCCTCTCAAACTCTCTGAGCAGACACTCGCGAGGAGAAGCTGGCTCACCATCTGAAGTGTAAATATATGAACAGTCTTCAAATTCCAACATATTTAGGAAATCACTAGCTACAGATTCAGTTATGTCATCCAGGCTTAGCGACTTCATTGACATTTTTGTAGCTTTATAACTCGATTTAACTTCCAAAAAATTTTCTTGTTCGAGAGAGTCATCCATGGCTGATGAAGATTCCACATCAAATGACTCAGAAACCACATGGCTGCTAACAGCTGAGTCAGATTCTCCGAAAAATGATTGCTTTGAGGATAAGCTACTTCCTTCATTTTCAGGACTGGCCATTAATAACTGATCAATAAAACGTGTTTCCTCAGTAAGGGCTGCATCTTCATCCTTAAGAATATCATCCACATCAATAATTTCAATTCTTGAAGAATCTGTGTTTGAAAGAGTACTTTCATCCAACTTGGATCTGGATCCTTCTTGCTCAACAATCTCAACCCCCTTATCAATAAAAGCAAACTCAGTATCATCAGACTCATCTGTTTGCTTAGCACTCTCCAAGCCAGGGTTAAGGCTAGTTTTCCCCAGACATTCATACAGGGTATCTTTTCCCATTGAACTTTCCAAGTTTTGTTCATTAAGTTTTTCATATAGAAAATCTATCGACTTGGAGAGCTCCAAACTAAGGTTAGGAGACACTTGATGAAAAACCTTTCCTTCATCAAGCGGTGAAGATCGGTGGTCCAAATTACTTGGAACACTCCCAACCCGCCTCAGCATTGTACTTCTACTGCTTGAGTTGGAAGCACCATTGACATCACTGTTTGAATCCTTGATGACAGAGTAATCAAAACTAAGATTCAGAACTGCGCCCCTTGCTGCACCTGAAAGCTTGAAGCTCGTAGTCCACTTTCTTGTGCTTCTCTCACCCTCCAACTCATCTAGAGACAATGGCAAGAGCCTTGTGAGGTCAATCCAATGCTTCCCAAGATCAAGGCGGGGAGCATCGGCAACAGAGGCATAAATCAAGAAAAGCTTCACCTCATATTTGGCAGAATGATAGGGACCGCTTTTACTACAATATACCGTACATCTGTGCATTAAGGTCTCTTCAAATTCTGCAGCTCCATCCAAAACAATACATGGCCGAGTAGACAACACTTCGTCCTTCCTCTTCCATTGCACGACCAAACTACTGTCGTTCAGATTTGAAGGTAGACCTTCAATCGAATGGACGTGGAGATGAAAACAAATGTCATACCGATGCTGCCTAAAATGCGTTATGGCTCTCAAAGGTTTCTTCCAATTCCAAGCTAGGGAGGATTTCTTGTTCTTCTGCAACGAGGTATCACCCACAGTTTTCGAGTTGGGATTCGGCCTGGAAACCGGTGGGCGTGTCTTGCCAGCAGATTTGGATCGGACATGAGAAGATGAGAGCAAAGCTTTCGGTGCGGCTTTGTGTAAGGAAAGCGCTGAGCTAATCTCCTTGATGTCCCTCAACAGCTGAACATTGTATGAATCTCCAGAAGCATTGTTCTTCTCATTCCCACTGTTTTTAGACAACATCGTTTAGAGTGTTACCTGATAAGATTTTCGATGTGATCACAAATCTCAGAACAAGATCCGGAGAATAACGACTTCTCAGGAGGAGCCTTCCTTCAAACCAGAAATCAAGCCTGCACTGAAATTTTAAAAAAAAAAAACAAACTTAGAATCCAAACAAGCGATTCCGAATCAATATTTTCAAATAGAGGAATCTAACGCGAAGACGAAATTCAAAATCGCAGAATCCTTTCCATAAAAATTCAAGATAACTAATCCGATTTTTATTAGAAGCTTTAAGAACAGAAACTGCAGAACCCTTACACTTTGATTTTCGGTCAGATTCGAGTCAAAGAGCATATGATTCAAGTATACTTCGACTTTTCTACTGAAAAACAAAGCATTTGTACAACTAGAATTAATCCGAAATGTACAGAGATCTCTTGTTTTCTTACCTTTTGGAAAGAAGTCCCTTCTCTATGCTTCGCCAAGTAAAAGCTTCGAGTTTGAAAAAGGCGGAAAATGAAACGGTGAGAGATTTTCTCGGAATCTGATAACAGAGAATTCTGTGTTTTCCCGGAAAAACTTCACGAGACTAGCATGACGAGATTCAATGCTCAGTCTCTCGGGTCGGGTCGGATCGGATCGGATCGGATCGGATCGGGTGGGTCCGAAGAGTGAAGTTGGTGAGCCGCCCAGACCACACTAGACAAGTAGACAGCGACCGATGGGGAGAGAGAGAGATGGAAGAAGATGAAGCAGCGCAAGAAAACTGCGTGTCGTGCTTGTATAGATTAGCACAAAAGCGCGTTGTTTTTCATTACGAAGACCGGCGCGATGTTCTTAAACCTAATTTAAATACTGCACGTGTTTTGTGTTGGTTGTTGAATGGTGTTTTTTTTTTTTTGGACCTTCATCTTCCTTCACGAAGTCATCTTTTATAATTCCAAAACATATTATTTTATAATTCCATATTTATATATAACCACACATGTAAAGGTTATTTTATAATGGTAAATGAAGAGTTGTCAAAAAAAAAAAGAAAAAAAAAAGATGAAAGAATGCTAAGAAAATGTAGGCCCATAAAAAGAAGCCTAAATGGGCCGTGAGGTATATAACCTGATCCAGATTTATATCTCTGGGCCTGGATCCGACCCGATTACGGGGAATGACCATGCCGCTCTTCTCCACAGCAGCTTTGGCAAGCAAACGATCAGATCGAAACTCCGGCGGCGGAGAAGTTCGCCGGCGAACGGCAACCCCCACCGATCAGCCATGCAGGACACGGCGGAGACTTTGTTTCTACGCCGTGCTCCGACAGAGAGAGATGGAGAGAAACCCTGGTTCCGACTCTACTGGCAAGGGGGTGCGAAGTATCAACGCCGACGCAGGTCCGAATCTCTCCACGAGGGTGAGGAGGCGTTCATGAAGATTTCCGTCATAACCGTAACAAAATCAAGACCTTAGTTTATGGCAGAAATCGAGCACGATTGCTGATTTTGTGTTTTGATTTCCTGGGATTTTAGAGATTAGATTGGATTTTCTTTTTTCTTTTTCTTTTTAAAAATTACGGAGAGAGGCAATGGAATCCCACTGATCATCAGGCTCCACTGTTTGTTGAGGTGATCGTGCTTGATTTGTCTGAATTTGTTCTTATGTGGATTCTGTTTATATCTACGGGATTCATAAACTATCACTTGAAGGCAATGACAAGGGTTTCTTCTTTAGTTATCAAAAACCATCACTTGATTATATATAGGTTTCTTGGGCATTTCTTTGTTCTTCAGTTCACATTTCATGTTAGAGCTAAGAACTAGTTTGTTCACTTAATCATTGTCCTGATTTCTATACAATACTGCCATTGGAGACAATTCTTTGATGTATTGCTTTTTATGAACCAGAAGTCTTTGATGTCTTGGCTTTCACCCAGATAAGATTCAGCTATTTCCTCGACGTATCATAAGAACTACATGAATGAGATGAAAGCATGCGGCGATAGAACTAAACTGTTGTATTGCCACCATCTGTTTTTTCAAGGCATTGCAATCACTTGCCGGCTTCTCTGTTGGCCAAATACAGGGAACTGCATTGGATAGTAAGTCCAGATGTCGCAGAGGTCTATGATGAGAGGCCGAGTCTTCAATATAATGTCCGTACCGAACTGAGGAAGTAAGCCCTTATCCTTTTCTCAAACTATCTGTCTATAAGTGCAGCCTTGCATAGTCATAGTCATAGTCCTCCGTTCTCTCTGTTTTACTGTTTGATTTCTTGTTTAGATCTTGCCCGGCCATTTATCCATTCTAGAGTAGAGACACCCTAGATCTCCACAAGGAAGACAGAATGTCAGTTCTGGGCATCCTCGTCACTAGGGGTGGGGGAACGGTTCGGTTCTGTGTATTCAGTTACAGTTAATTCAGGTTTTGAAATCTCATAACCAAACGGTTATTTGGTTTGTCAGTTCGGTTCAGATCGGTTTTCAAATAACCGAACCGTTTACCCATCCATACTTGTCACATCTTTCATCTTTGCAGGTTTCCATTTTCTGGGCTGGGGAAATCATATGGGAACATGGGTTGGGATAAAAATGTTCTGATGGAAATTGGAATGACCTGACCTGCCATATCGTGTGGTTTATACTTCTGCTTCTCGCTCAATCCCGTAGCCAGTGACCAAACCTAGCACATGACCTGTGAGAGGCTGGTCTGAATCACAACGTTTCATTTCTTGCATCTGTTTTATTCAGTGCCCGTAAATTTGATGTGTGGTTTATTTGCCAAGTCGACCATTGTGCTTTCTTAATGAAATGCACGTTTTAGGTATGAGAATAGGGTATGTAATGCGTAATACACAGGGAAACTAACAGAATCCATCTTTTTTGTAGGTAGCATCTGTGATATATGAAGTACAGTACAATGCATAAACCAAAGAATCCGATGACTTTTTTCCCCACAAAAAAAGATCGAGGAAGGAGGAAAGAACATCCATATCCTATAGGAAGGAAGTGCCAGCAAGCCGGTGGTGCAAAAGATTATGAGCAATACCATCCCTTTCCTTCATGGCCGTGACCGATCTCGATGCATTCTCAGGCACAACCTCATCATCCACCACTTCTGCCATTAGCCCTGGATCCAAATTCTCACCCTTTATCTCACATATGTTGTGCAGAACACAGCAAGCACCCAGCACTGTAGGCAAGTCCTGCAGCTTAACCTCTGTCCTCTTCTGCAGACATGCCCACCGTCCCTTCAACCTCCCGAAAGCCTCCTTAGCCACCCGTTGCACCTCTCGGATGTTCTGATTGAATGCGTCCTGTGTCCATGTCAGGTTCTTCTGCGTGTATGGAACCAGCACCCATTCCAGCAATGGATGCCCTGTCCCCCCAACCACCCACATTCCCTTCAACAGACCTCCATTGCTAGCCCTCTGATACAACAGTGACTTCTCTAGGACCTGGTCATCAGTCATCGACCCGGGCCATCCAATGCATAGGTCAGTAAAAATCCCTTTCGGGTTCACAACGGCTTGAATGGTGATCGAGTATGACGTCTTCTGGTTCCTTTCCGTGTGCCGCTTGTTGAAATACATGGAAACACTGATCTTAGGAGCTATAATCGGAACGTGAGTGGTATACATCGAGCCCACGATGTTCGGTATACCCGACAGCGATTCAAACTCCTCTCCGATATTGCTCAAACCATCATTATCTGGCCATTGCAGGTACTTGGGCATCAAGACATCCTTAATGGCTTTACAAACCTCAAGAACAAGCTTGTGGCAAGTGGAGATCCCCAACCCAAACTTCTTGGACACTAGCCGCAACGGCTCTCCCGTCCCGAGTCTCCATAGGCAGACCGCGACCCGCTGGCGCACGGGGATGGCGTTCCGCAGGGCCGTGTCTTCCTTAGCCACGGCAGAGTTCAGCTCCTCGCAAATTTCTTCAAACGTGGCTTTGGACATCCGAAAGGCTCGCCTGAAGTCCTCTTCAGGGTAATCCTCACGGCTACACTCCTCCCACCAGGCCCGGCTTCGATCCTTCACCCACAACCGCCTCTGTTGACCCGAACCCGGGACCTGAACCCGATCTGACCCGGACCCGGGATTCGGATTCTCCCCAGTCTCGTTCTCCAGCTCGGAAACCGGAGCAGCAGCTGCGGCGGCGCGTGACCTCTTCCGGCTAATCTGGGCTGTTTCCTCGGCGTCGGTGTAGTGATCTTGAAGATTGGAGTGATGATCGGACATGAGATTTGCCCTTTTCCGGTAACTGGGCTGGAAATCGAGCATGTGTGGGCGGGAATCAGTGTCGGGAGACTTGTGGTCGTGCTGCTTCTGAGGGTCATCCATGAACAAGAGGGAAGTGAAAAAGCCCTTGAGCTCCTTCGCGTTCGTGGTCTCTACCTCGCCGTCGAAGACATAACTGGTTTCCTCTCCGTCGTCGTCTCCGGTGTTGTCTTCGTGGTCGTAATCTCCAACACCGGAAGTCTTCAGGAGAACGGCGGCATTCATCGGAGGAACAGGACAGTTAAGTTTGGATTGGAGGATTTGTATGGTTCATAAATAGAAACGGTGAAATCTTGCAGATTTTGGGATGAGAGAGAGAGAGGAAACGTGTGAACACGCCTGTTGACTTGCTGCTCCTGCTTGCAAGGGTTCTTCTTGTCCGTATCTTATTATTCTTCTTCTTTATTGCAAGTGTAAATATATTATATATATATATATATATCCAAGACACTGTCTGTGGAGTGAGTAAAGATCCATTAGAATATCATATCGTTTTTTTCTATCGAGTTTTTTTTTCCATTTGACATTAATCTATTTGATCGAAACTTGTATAAAAATTAGGGGTGGGCGTTTCGGGAAACGGTTCGCGTTCGGGACGGAATAGATCGGTTCGGTTCTTTCGATTTTACAAAAATAAGTACCAATCGGGTTTTTTATTGTATTCGGTTCGGTTCGGTTTCAGTATCGGTTCGGTTCCGGGTTTTATTAAAAAAATGTTAGATTTCCTTTAAAAATATTCGGTTTTTCGGGATTTTTAAAGTTCGGTTCGGTTCGGTTTCAGAAAAATTCGGTTCTCTAAAAATGGTACAATTCGGAAAATAACAACGGTTTCGGATCGAAAAAATACCGTTTTAACGGTTCGGTTCGGTCCGATTCCGAAGAACCGAACCGAAACGCCCAGCCCTAATAAAAATTGCATATTTTCTTCATCACAATAATATTTTTTAAAAAAATAATAATTCCATAACGATTTCGATTTTTCGAATAAGAAACCGAATCACAATGAAATAAAACAAATAGAAATTAAGAAATGTTGACGACGATGATTTGGAACAATTTAGAATAGAAGTAGAAAAATATCTCCGATTTTCGTTCGAATAGAAAAAAATGCAATTTTTATCGTAATTCTATAAAGAATCAAGTCATACCGAATAAACCAGATGGTATTAAACCAAAGTCAAGCCTTCAGAATTGCAAACATTACAAAAGTGAATGAAGAAATGCATGCATGCATGCATGCGTGAGTTGGTGTGTGTATATATATACACATATATGATTGGTTTACATTCTTTTGGTTACTATTGGCAGTGACCACCTACTTGAATTTTATTGAGTTGGATCCAAGCAGTTTTTGTATGTATATGAAAACTTCATCAACGCCCATAAATTAAAACGTAAGTTATTTTAATAAATAACATATACAGTATTAAGATATGTCCCGGACACATACACATGTAAAACACTCATCAAAACACATAAAACTCTATGTAATGAATCGAATCATACCATTCCGTTACTTTAATTTCGTACACAAACGAGAGAATATTACATATATATATATATATATATATATATGTGTGTGTTACCATTTATTATTTCACTCATTATCAATAGATAAATTCATATTTTGACCGTTATCGATATTAATAAACGAAATAATAAATGACATTTCCGATGATAAAATTTTCTTAAATAAAATGATAAAATCAATAATAGATACTGTTCTCTCGGTAATAATAAATTTTTCTGTATCCGTAAAATTGTGGAAGTAGTGTGAACACGGCAAGGAAGTATCGGACTTGATAGATAAGAGTTTCCGTGTGACGGCCGTGGCACGTTTATGTTAGGTGTCGGATGGTGACTTCTTTTTTGGATTCTTTTGTTCTCTCTATTTTCTTTTTTAAATTACCACGATTTAATCACATTATTCGAAATTTACAAGCATAATATTTATTTATTTATTTTTATCATAGAATGATTTTAATTTTAAGAAACCATTCACATAAATACGAGTTTAAATACTAATTTAATTGAAACACCAGCATTTTTTCGTGATTAAATTTTTAAAAAAAAGGGTTTTTGAATATAAAATAATCTTATCCGAATTCTCTATTATTAAGCATTGATATAATGATACAAATCGAGGGCATGCAACTTTCGGAAACAATCATCTATTAAGGTCGTTGAATTGAATTGAACCACCGCCACCAATATAATTATAGGGAAAAATTAATAAACAAAAAAAAATAAAATGCATGTTGACGTGGAGCCCAAGCCCATTAATATGCCCAACTCCAAGCCCATTTATAACCTTCCTGTTTGTCCAGAGAGAGAGAGAGAGAGAGAGAGAGAGAGAGAGAGAGAGAGAGAGAGAGAGAGAGTTATGACTATCCAAATCGAGCAACATTCAGTGATGTACATGATATGACATGGCATGACATGACCATGTGGTTGCAAGTACGGTTTGACAACGCATTATCCAATTGGATCTATCGGACTAAAATCTTATTGGAATATAATAGATTTCGTTTTGTGTTTCCATTCCATCGATTCAATTATCAAAATTGGGTGAATTTTTTATTTTTTAATCATACTGGTAAAAATTACGTTTATTCGTTTAAACATGAATTCTGAAAAACATTACTAAGATTTTTATTTCATTTACATTTTTCTCCGTTATTTTTATGGTCGTTTTAAATTCGAATTGGGTTTTTTTAATTTGGTTTAAAACAAAGCATTCTAAAAATTAGAGTTGAATATATTATTGGGCTCTCGAGGTCTAGATTCAAAGTTTTTGTGCATGTTTTTTTAATGAATAGAGTTAACATTTAACAGGTGAAGATTAAAAAAAAAAATGGACCGACCGTTCATATGGAAGAAGCTCCCAATCAGTTTTATGTCATAAATCTTAAAAAAGGTTTTTTTCTTCTCCTCCTTTGGAATCTTCTATTTGTTGCAAAGACCTCATAGCATCCAATTAATTTGTCCTACGACTCATAATTACACAAATTAGCACAATCAATTTGATCATTTTGAGGAAAATCAAAGCATAAATCAAATTGTGTATTTGGATGAACATGAATCAAGAGATGGAAGTGATCCTGTGATTATGGCTGCCCGATCCATCCCGCTTCGTTTCCAATGCTTTCAACTTGGATTTCCATATAAAACATATTTGATGACGGGGATTAAAACACAATATTAGTATGCTTCAATGTAGAATTAAACATGATATGAAAGCTTGTATATATAGAGAGAGAGAGAGAGCACAATCACCAGTATCATATAGTTCAGAGATATGATCTGCTTCATCTATAAAGTAGAATTAATCAGTTCAAATCATATGATTATATAGATCTCATAACCATATCCCATATCTCCAATTTTAATTTTGCTAAAACCCATTTCTTCATAGTTAAGCATGATCAATAGAGAGAGAGAAGGGGTGACAGATAGAGAGTGAGCACACATAGCTTCAAGCACGAAACCCTAGTTTTGTTTTGTGATGAAAGCATGCAAGAAAGCCACCATGTGTGCTCACTCTCTTCTGTCACCTCTCTTACCGCCAATCCCTCCACGAGAGGACAGCAAAATTGAGCAGATCGTCTCCGATCATATACCGCCAAATCTTGTGACTCACCCATATATATATAAACCCTAAATTAACATATATAACCAATATGTATGCCTACTATTTTATATTCATATATATACACACATCATTGTCCCAATATGATGAAACAGGGACTCAAAACTTATAGAAGATTTGTATACTACTGTCTGTGTATTTGCTGTGGGAAGAAACTGAGACCTGTTGGGGCTTTTTATAGCCAAACAAATGTTGAGAGAGAGAGAGAGAGAGAGAGTGATAAAGCTAAACCCTCAAATCTCTCTCTTGAATTATTTGATAGTACAGATTTTGTGGGAAGAAAAATGGAAGCAAATGATTTTTTTAGAATAAAAAAGGATAATGCTTTCTATCTTTTTTTTATGCATCTCCCCCCATAATTCTTCTCTTTTTCATTTTAAACCCCAATGATTTATTTATTTTTACCCACTTTATATGCTGGCTTTACGTTTTTAATTAGATCCTTGTTTGTTTAGCATTTGACATAATTTTACACTTGAAAATTTTATTTTTTGAAGTATAAATTTCTAAATATGTTGACTATAATTAAGATTATTGTGATCATTACGAAATAATAAATTTAAAACTTTTTTCTCCACGAATTTCGAAGTATATAAAATGTTGTAATTTAAATCACAAAACAAAACATAAAAAAAACACACAAAAAAAAAGAGAGGCAAATTAAGAAACAAGAAGAATGAACGAATGAAGTTGATGAATATCCCAAATTCGTTATTATCAATGTGAAATGAGAGCAACTTACCAATAAATAACATACAATCTAAGCTAATTGATGGTCCAAAAACTTAGGAATAAAAAATAAAGGAATATTTCATTATGGCATTCTTTTTATTTCCCTATTGTGGTGTATATAAAATATTGGACCGTCCAATTATCAATCAACAGAGGCTCATCATGGACAGTTCAACTCGCACCCGCAACCCCCCAATATCAATACGGCCGCTAAAAGCATCTTAAAGTGTGCATGCTTTTTATTTTTATTTTCCCTTTCTAGAAATAAATATTTGATTCTATAAGATGCTTTATTACTTCAAAATAATATATATATATGTATATATATTCCAGTTTGAACATGAGTAAAAGTAGCTAAAAATTTGGAAATATTTGATTCAAATACGAATTTTGTGTACTCGAAATTCAAAATCGTCGTCATATTCGTATTGTATTACGTACCAAAATATATGAATTATTAAAGCTGAAATAAAACCATTAAATCTATTGAATTTTAATTTTAAACTAAATGAACCTGATGATTGATATTTATGAATATGAATTTTCATTACCCAACATCCAAATCTAAATTTAGATTTCGAATTTTTACAGTTATCAAAAGCTAATTCATTTTAGCAATGAATGAATACCAACTTTCTAATAAAATATTTTAGACATGTTTTTTTTTTTTATGAGAGATTACAATTTTTAAGAGCTATTTTAGAGAATATAAAAATAAAAAATTTCAAATAAAATAACTAGCGTTGACGTATCACAAAACGGAAAGTATACATAAAAATAAATGAAAATATTAGATATTAATTTGTAATATTTGATATATTTATTTTGTAAGCCAAATCATACAAGATATATAGATAGGTAGAGGAAAATTCCATATTGGTGTGCTAAAACAAATCCTATATAAAATCCACAACCACTTTGAGATGTGTGCCAATTCATATAATAAATGGGATATATGTATATAGTGAATAACTGTTGTGGAAATAAATAAAATAGAATAAAAAGAGATAATATTATTATAAAAAGATTTGGATATTTCCGAATATGGAAGGACGCAAATGTTTGTGCTTTGTGGACACATTTCCCTTCAGGGGAGAATTCATGCATACGACGCCAACCCCATAATTTATTTCTTTATTTAAATTTCGAGAATCACTTTTGGTAAAGCGGAAAACGTGTTGACATATGCAGCTGCTGATGAGCAACTAAAATAAAGTAATCCCTTTAGCTATTTTTTATTATAATATTTGATTAAAAAAACTATATATATTATATACACGTCTATATATATCTAATCGTTTTGACAATAATATATATTAATATAATATAAAAGGGAATAATGGTATACAATTGTTGTTTATATGCTACTGCCTGCTACGAATATTGGTTTGCAGAATAGATATCTCGTAGTTCTTGTTATGAACCTACCTATATATATATATATATATATAATTTCTAATCAATAAATTTAAATTTATAATACTCGATCGAACAAAAAATATACGAAATAAGAGAATACCGGATATGCCCTATAGGGTGTTGATATTTTGTATGTATACGATGCGTGAATATGGGATGGCGAGAATATGAAATTCCAAAGGCTCACATGAACATACATATATGTAATACACATTCACTGTGTGTATATATATGTATATATGAGTATGTGGGGATGGTATATATGTACGCAAGAGATCTAGAAGGCATGTTGTGAAGCCAGATGACAGGTCCAAAGCTGTCTTTTGGTATATGTATATTAATATATAGCATATACATACATATGAATGTTCATATGCGATGTGTATGTATGTATATGTGTACATCATGTCATCGCGTATTTCTCTGATAACGTGATCCCATGCTTTCTTTCTTTCGACTTTCGGCGAGAGCACGTGGAGTGTCCCTGGATCGACACGTGTCGAGATGGGGTTTGTCCGTCATGCAACCCCACGTCGCAAGTGGTATATCAGAATCAGAAACCATGGTCAAGATCTCTTCTTGACTCTTGTGGGGCAAAATAACAAAAATAACCTTAAAAATGACAAGAGCAACAGCCATACCCTTAGAATTTCTAGGGTTTCCCAAAAAACTAATATTTTTAATAAAATTACAGAAATACCAGAATAACTAGTCTGACCAAAATTTTTTGGTATGACCAGTATGATCAATTCAAATGGTATGACCAGTTTGACTAGTTTGACTAAATTTCGATTAGTTTAACGTTACATTTGGAAAATTAATATTAGAAGAATAAAAAATAATTGGTATCAGAGCAAGGTAACGATTATGGACAACGAAAAAATTGATTTTTCGAAGGGATTACCATTAATATTAACCAATGAAGATGAATGTTATCCCGGATTTTCTTATAAGGGAAAGGTGATAACAATACCTAAAAACCTTCATAATCAAAGTCGATATTATATTGGTACCATCTTTGACGATGATATCTTATAAGGGAAAGGTGATAACAATACCTAAAAACCTTCATAATCAAAGTCGATATTATATTGGTACCATCTTTGACGATGATACTAATCATAATCTCGGAAATAAAATAAAGAAAATAGGTTTTACTTTAAATAATATTGTCGAAATGATTTTTTATGGAATCATACATCAAAATCCAGAAAATCACGAAGAAATAAAAAGAAATATTGAAAATATAAAATCAGATTTAGAAAATCAGCTACAAAAATTAATAAAAATATTTGAACAAAACCATGAAAAACAAAATGAAACTAAAAATATAAATAAAAAATTAGAAGAAATAATATATCTACAAGAAAAAAGTATTAAAGAAATAAAACAAAACTCTGAGGAATTAAAAGAATATATTAAAACAATAATAGGATGACAGAAACCATGAAGGAAACTATAGAAAAAATAATTAAAGAAACAACTGCTGAAATAAAAGAATTACTACTAAATATTAAAGAAATACTCACAACAACAAATAATTACAGTAATAATAACAGACAAATTCAAATAATAAAAGAACTTAACGAAGCTAAAGAATTAGTAAATAATATTATTATAAGAAATAACGGAAAAGAAATAATAGATCCAGATGAAAATGAAAAACCAAAAATATTAGAAATAATAGAACAGTTACAAGAAATAATCGAACGACTTAACCAAAATAGATATATCACTATAAAAGACTTACAAAATTATTTTAAAAAAGAAACAAAAGAATTAATTATTATCGATAAATCTAATTTTCGAATTAGATCACCACCAAAGATATAATGGAAGGACTAGATGATCAGATAGAAAGATTATCAACATTATTAGCGGCTCTTAATATACCCGAAGAAGAGCAACCTGATGAAACTGAAAAAATTGTTTCAATGTAATCAAGAAAAACGAAAACAAGAGGCAAAAATCGATAAGTTATGTTGTGGTGCAATACCAGGACAAATAGGCAAATATGGTTGTGAACCTATTCGCCAAAAACATAAAAAAAAGAAATGGAGAAAAATTCCATATAAAAAATATAGGAAACAAAAATACATACCACAAAAATATTTCAGAAATAGAAAACAATACAAAAAGAAAAACTATGGTAAGAAGGATACATACTGTCCTTCTAAGAAAAAGAATTGTAAATGTTGGTTATGCCAAGAAGAGGGACATTATGCAAATGAATGTCCTAAAAAAGGAAAGAAAAAAGAAACAGAAATACTACGAATAGCATACGATATGGGCTTTGAACCAATCGAATCAGATTCAGAGTTTGACTCTGACATCGAAATATATGCATATACCACTGAATCATCCGATTCAGAAAATGAATAGAAAAATACTAAAATCAGGAAATTTATATCTCCAGAATCCTGTTACGTATTGTGAATCAGTTCTTAATTCGAACCGTGTTTGTAATAAATCAATTTTCCATTTCTTTAGAGTTCGAAGACAAGCAAGTGTTTCGAGCTCATGAATTGGATAATTCATCTCAGTTTTTGAAAATGTTCCTGAAATATATTTGCATAATATTGTATTTTATTTTTCAGTTTTTGGTACTTCATTATTATTAGTACGACCATATTGGTCAAGATGGAGTAATTCTTTTCCATCCTTTATTGCTAGCATGCATCCTGCCCAAACTTCTTTGGATGCATCTGTTTCAATAATCAAAAAGTCTTTGGTCGTTGGATTGTATAATTTTGGTAATATCTTTATATTTTCTTTTATATGTTTTACTAAATTTGTATCTTGATTAGTCCAAGACCATGGTATTTTGTCTGATATTTTCTTTTGTAATTGTTTTCGTTCTTTTGCTAGGGATTTGAGAAATCCCTGCTCGGAAACATAGTTAAGGCACCCAAGGAACCTTTGTATTTGTTTTCTGTCTGTTAATTCGTTAGGAAATTGTTGTATTTTTTCATGTACATTATTTGTTAGTTCAATTTCTCCGTTATTAT